TCGGCGACGCGCGCGCGGGCGGTCGCGGCGGTGGGGAAGCACGAACGCGGTCGCGATGCGGTTGGGAAGCGAGGGAAACGCGTGGGTGATGGTGATTCGTCGAGGGTGTTCTTCGGAGGGGGGGCCGGGGAGGTGGCGGGGCCGGCGCCGACGCGCGCGCGGGCCGTGGCGGTGAAGGAGGAACCGAGCGAGCAGGCGATGGAGGTTGACGGCGCAGAAGGCGCGAACGCGGACGCGGAGCCGGGTACGTCCGCGCGAACGAAAGATCCGACGGTTGTGGGGGCGCAGGCGACGCCGGTGCGTCAGGTGAGGATGAGCAAGGCGAAGCAGGCGCAACTCGCGCTGGAAGAGGCTTCGAAGAAGATCCAACCCGACCGCATGGCGACAGAGCAGATGCACGACGCTGAGGACGATTGGGTCGATAAATCACAGTATTATCCAACCGTCTTAAAGAGCGCTCGTGAGATGGATGTGGCCTCGGTCGGTGAGGTTGTGAAATCGTCAACGGACGACAACTACGTCGTGTTACAACTGCCCTCATACTTGCCGCTCCGGAAGCACGGCGGCAACGAGAACATGGAGGTAGACGGAGTCGTGACCGTCGCGGACGAAAATAGCGACGAACATACAAATAGTGAAGATAACGACATAGTTCGTGACCTGTCTGAGCTCTCGGAAGGGCAGCTCGGCGAGTTGAGGATTCACGCCGACGGCTCGGCGAAGCTGTACATCGGCAACGCCGTGTTCGATGTCATGCACGGGACGCCGTATCAGCACGCGGAGCAGGTTGTGCGATTAGATTCGGAAAATCAGCAGTGTGTGATCATGGGGACGTCCAGCGCGCGAATGACGTGCGTCCCCGATGTCACGGCACTGCTCTTGTAGTAAAGATTCACGAGTGAAGTGAAGTTCGTATACTTACATCCACTTATCTCGCGAGTGTTGCGTTCTTATGCACGGACGCGCGCGCCGCGTCGCAGAAGTGACCAACGCTCTCCTCCGGCGTACCTTGTACCACACCATGGCCGACATTCAAGATGTGCTTACTGCTGCCCGCATCTCTCACGCAGTTTGCCACCTCTTGCTTAATTCGCTCTGGGCTCGCGAAGAGGTACATGGGATCCATGTTACCTTGCAACACGCGATCCGGTCCGAGAACAGCCCGCGCGTCTACCATACTCGTGTTCCAATCCAACCCAATGACGTCCGCCGTCGACTTTTTGAGCTCATTGAGCTTCCCACATCCACCGTTGGCGTGGAAGATGAGCGGCGTTTCCGGATGACGTTCCTTCACGTACGCGATGATGCGCTCGTTGTACGGATGAGAAAACTCGAGGAATTGCTGCGGCGAGAGGTGGTGCGCCCAGGAGTCGAATATCTGCACCACTTGCGCACCACTCTCGATCTGGTAGCACACGTACACGCCAAGTGCGTCCGCCAACTTGTCCAAGAAGGCGTGCAGCAACTCTGGATTTTGCGTCATGATTTGCTTCGTCGTGACGAGGTGCCTGTCGCTCGATCCCTCCATGGCATACGCCGCGAGCGTCCAAGGCGAGCCGATGAAACCGAGCATCGTGGACTGTCCGTCAATTTCCTTTCGGAGCGAGCTCAAAATCTCTCGAACGAAAGGCAGAGACTTCTCCGGGTCGTCCAGAGTCTTCATCGCTCGCACGTCATCCATGGACTTCACCTGGTGCACGACCGGCCCCTTCCCCTTGACGACGTCGAACTCGATCCCGAGCGCGGGCAGCGGGGTGAGAATATCGCTAAACATAATCACCCCGTCGGGCTTATACGCCCGCCACGGTTGCATCGACAGCTCGATCGCGATCTCCGGCGTCTCCGAGCGATGTCGAAACCCGTACTTCGTGCTGTACGCGCGAAACTCCGCCATGTACCGCCCAGCCTGGCGCATCAGCCACACCGGCGAGCGCTCGACGTCCTCCCCTCTCGCCGCTCGCAACAAGATCGGATCGCTCGTCCCGTTCGCGGTCGCGCGCGTCACCGTCGCGCCCGATCGACGCGCGCGCGCGCATCCGCGCCCCGTCCACGCGCGCCCATCGCCCTTCGTCGTCGCGCGCGTCACCGTCCCCGCCCGCGTCGCCGGCACCATCGCGCGCGTCGACGTCGTCCTCGCGCGTCGGTCGATCGTTCGCGCGCGCGCGTCGACGGCAGCGGGGCGCGCGGGCGACGACGCGCGTTATCCGCGTCCGCGATATCCGATATGGGTCGAGTCCTGGGTCGTGACTCGTGAAAGCGTCCCATCGATGCCGCATCGACGCGCCGGCGGGCGTCGAACGCGCGCGCGACGTCGCCCGCGACGCCACGACGCGGCGGACGACGCGCGCGCGCGCGCGACGGGCGACGGGTCGACGGGCGAGATGGATCACGTCGCGGCGCGCCTGGATGGGATGCTCCATCACCTGGAGGATCAAGGCGTGGGGTCGAGACAAATGTTGAAGATCGCGCGCGCGTCGGTGTACGCGCAGATCGTGCTCGGGATGGCGGGATCGCTGGCGTTCGTGTACGGTACGATACACAGCTCGGCGCTCGCGCTGTCGCTGTACGCGGTGGTGGCGTTGGAGATAAAGGCGCCGAGGCTGTTGAAGATTTACGCCGTGCTGCTGTTGGTGTTGACGCTCATCGATTTCTTTTGGTTGGCCACGTACGCGGGACCGATCGGGTCGTCGAACACGGGGATGGTGATGACGCTGGACGCGGGGAAGGTGGACGTGGACAGAACGCTGAAGTGGGGGATCATGGCGTCCGGGGTGAATAACTTTTTCTGCCTCGTCCCCGAGATCTTCGCGTTCTTCCTGCGCATCGCCTCGGTGTTGCTCTGGGCGTTGATGTGGAGCAAAGGTTTGTTGGACGGTTCGGATGGTGAGTTATACGCCGACCCTAATAGCGCGTACGAGACGGTGCACAAACATTCCTCGATTCCGGGATCGCCCGCGAGAAACGGTGTGAGAAACTCGGACGCTTTCTTCACCGGTGACGGCGGGTATCAGGACATCGAAGCGTGAAGAAACGTGCGAGTGTAACATAACCCACTATGTATACAAGTGTCAATTTTCTATAATTCTATATCCCCTCGGCGCATCACGTGCCGTACTCAGAGCGCACGCGAGCGAGTCTGGACTCGACGAAAGCGACGAAATCCGGTTCCTCCGCGACAAGCTTTTCAAAACCACCCGGTTTGGCGCATCTGGCGTCGTGTGCGTCGCACTCGTCGACAGTCAACAGCACGAGATTGTCCAGACATGCCGGTCGCTCCGGATTCCATCTCGTCAGAGCGAGATCGTTCGTGTTTCTCCAGTGCAGCACGTTCCCCGCCTTGCCCCGTTTGAGCGGATCGTCACGCGCGCTGAAAGCTCGCCAAATCTCTCGAACGAGGTACATCACACCGACGACGTCAACCGCGATGTCGCACACCTCCGGACCGCGTTCGCGCTCGCGTTCGTGCAAGCGGTCGAGCTGAATCTCGTACTGCTTTTGTTGGAGAACAATGAGTGGCTCTCCCTCGAACGGTGCATCCGCCAGGTGCGTCAACACGTAGCTCGCGAGCGCCATGCCAAAGATCGCCGGCACGCATCCGAGCACGGGAATTGTTCGAACGCGAAAATTTGGAATCACCTGGTAATCTGACAGCGTCTCTCCCTCTTTCAGTTCCATCTCCGCCACGAGTTCGCAGCGCGGCTCCTCGAGTGAGACGAGCGTCGGTATGTCGCGTTGAATCTTGAAATTCTTCTTCAAGCGATATCTCACCGCGCGCGCGAGCCTGTCGGCGGCGCACTCGGATATGTCCACGAATCGTAATCGAGTCGGATCGCACTTCGCTCCGGCGCCGCCGGAGGTGACGACGCGTAGATTTCGTCGCACGCAGGCGGCGAGAAGAGCCACCTTTGTGTCAATGTTATCGATGCAATCCACGACAAAATCGGGCATTCGTCCGCCCTCGCCCCCCCACGGACCGAGCAATTCGTCCTCGGCGTCTGCTTCGTACATCGCGATCCGCGCGTCGACCTCAGCCTCGGGATAAATTCGCTCAAAGTGCTTCTTCAGGCACGTCGCCTTTGGCGTGCCCACATCCGCCCGCGTCGCCACCGCGTGCCTATTCAACGAGCTCAGACTCACCTGATCAAAGTCCACGACGCGTAATTTCCCCACCCCCGAGCGCAAGATCATGTGCGCCGCGTGCGATCCCACCCCACCGAGACCGACGACGACGACGAACGCGTCCCGCACCGCGCCCTGTCCGCGCTCGCCAAAAAATTGCACATTCCTCGTAAACTGCTCGCGCAGAATCTCATCCGTGAGATCGTACGACGTCGACGTCGCCGTCGACATCACGCGCGTTCGCTCCCCCCCGTCCTCGCCCCCCCGCCCCGCCGTCACCGCGCGCCCGTCGCCCCCCCATCGCCGCCGACGCCGCGCCTCGACCACCGCCAACGCCGCGCCGACGCCCACCGCGAACGCCATCGCGACGCGCGCCGTCGTTCGCGCGTCGTCATCGGCGCGCCCCATCGCCCGCGAAGACCCCCGCGCGGTGTCACCGACGCGTCGTCCCGCGCGCGCGCGACGACGCGTCGTCCACGCGATGGCGTCGCGGTGGGCCCGTCCCGTATCGCACGCGATTTTACCCGATGTACCGTACGTGTGCGCGAGGTTGGGTAAAATTCGAATCACCTTCTAAAAAAAAAATAAATCACCACCCGAAACTTTGTGATTTGAAATCACCGGCACCACCCATGGAGGGTGATTTACCCAACCTCGGCGTGTGCGTGATCGCTTTTCGACGCGTACGATGCGAGGTGAAAACCGCGCGGGTTATCCAAAATATCGCGTCGGCGCCAGCTGGCACGTGCGTCGAAAAGGCGGCGGTGTCGAGTGCGGACTCGTGAAAAAAGGGACTCGTCGACGACGCGCGCGAAACCCCGGCACCGCGCGCGATGGCGGCGGTGCGCACGCGGCGGACGACGACGCCGCACTCGACGACGCGCGGTCTCACCGTCGCGAACGTCACGCATCGTCGATCGTTCATCGTCTCGCGCGCGCCGTGAGCGAGTCCACGGGGTGTTCGTCGCGCGTCGAGCGTTAATCCAACCCGCACGCGTATCTTCCACGGCGCGATGGGTGTGTTCACGGAATCTGAAATCAACCCGAAGGTCGTGGCCTCTGTGCCGTTCTTCGGGGGGGTGCTCGCGCTCGTCATGGTCGCCGTGCTCATGATGCGCGTGAAGAAGGCGCCGAACGGCGATGGTGCGCAAATCTTCATCGCGAAGCAAATCTCCGAGGGGGCGGAGTCCTTCTTGAAGACGGAGTACGCGTACTTGCTTCCGTTCGTCGCGTGCGTGGCGGCGTTCATCGTGGGTATCTTGGAATCCCAAGATCGAGGCCCGCTCTACATGATCAACGGCGCGTACATTCAGTCGTCCAAGAAGGGTGGCTGGCAAACGATGATCTGCTTCCTGTGCGGCGCGGCGCTCTCCGCCACCGCGGGCTGGGCGGGCATGAAGGTCGCCACGCAAACCAACGTCAAGACCATGGAAGCCGCTCGCTTGGGCTTGAACCCGGCGCTCCAAATCGCCTTCGCCGGCGGTGCGGTCATGGGCTTCTCCGTCGTCGCGTTTGGTCTCCTCGGCATGACTGTCCTGTTTTACATCTTCGCCACTGCTCAAAACAACAATTCTTTGCTCGACATGCGTGATGCCATCAGATACCTTTCCGGCTTCGGTTTCGGTGCTTCCGCCATCGCGCTCTTCGCGCGTGTCGCGGGTGGTATCTACACCAAGGCTGCCGACGTCGGCGCCGACCTTGTTGGTAAGGTTGAGGCAAACATTCCGGAAGACGATCCTCGCAACCCGGCCACCGTTGCCGACAACGTCGGCGACAACGTCGGTGACGTTGCTGGTATGGGCGCTGATCTCTTCGAGTCCTTCTGCGGATCTATCATCGCCTGTGCTGCGCTCTCCTCCAACACTCGTGAGCTCGCCTTGCCGTTCTGGATTGCTGGCTTCGGCATCTTGGCCGCGTGCATTGGCTTCTGGACCGTCTCCACCAAGGATGACGCCTCCCAATCTGACCTCCTCCACGCTCTTCACCGTGGTGTGTACTCTGCATCCATTCTCGTCATTGTCTTCTCCGTTGCTTGCGTTGAAATTCTCTTCGACGGAAACAAGCAAGGGTACAGATACTTTGGCTGCATCATCCTCGGTCTCGTCGCCGGTATCCTCATCGGCGAAGCGACCGAGTTCTGCACTTCCTACGCCTATGGCCCGACCAAGTCCATCACCCACGCTGGCTCCGCCGGTGGTGCCGCGACTGTCATCATCCAAGGCCTCGGCATCGGTATGATCTCCGTCTTCCCGCCGACTGTCATCATCTGCGCCACCGTCATCGCGTGCTTCAACGTTGCCGGAGCCGGTTCTTCTGGCTTGTACGGTATCGCCATCGCCGCTGTCGGTATGTTGTCCACCCTTGGTGTCACTCTCGCCACTGATGCCTACGGCCCGGTCGCCGACAACGCTGGTGGCATCGCAGAGATGTCTCCGGATGTTCCGGAAGAAGTCCGCGAGCGCACCGACAAGCTCGACGCCCTCGGCAACACCACCGCCGCCACGGGTAAGGGTTTCGCTATTGGCTCCGCTGTCTTGACTGCACTTTCCTTGATGAACGCGTACGTCCAAGACGTCCCGTATTCCATGGGTGGAAATGACCGTGCCTTGGCTGCCGCCATGACGCTCACGGACCCGTATGTCCTTTCGGGCATCGTGTTCGGTGCTATGTTGCCGTTCCTTTTCGCCGCGCTCACGATGCTTTCCGTGCGCAAGGCTGCCGGTGCCATCATCGTTGAAGTTCAGCGCCAATTCCGCGACATTCCGGGTCTCCTCGAAGGCAAGGAAGGTGTTGTGTGCGACCACATGGCGTGCGTCACCATGTGCACCAAGGCGTCCGTCGATGAAATGATCCTTCCGGGCGTTATCGCCGTGTTTACCCCGATCGCTGTCGGTTTGCTCATCGGTGCCAAGTGCCTCGGTGGTCTCCTCGCTGGTGCCATCTCGTCTGGCTTCATGCTCGCCGTGATGATGTCCAACGCCGGTGGCGCCTGGGACAACTCCAAGAAGTACATTGAAAACGAAAAGGTGTACGGCGGCAAGAAGTCCGACACGCACAAGGCGTGCGTTGTGGGTGATACCGTCGGCGATCCTTTCAAGGATACTTCCGGCCCGGCCTTGAACATTCTCATCAAGCTCATGACGATCTTCTCCCTCACCATGGCCCCAGTCTTCCGATCCGACTGGACCACCTGGTGGTACGGCGTTTTCGTCCTCTGCGCTGAAATCTTCGCCGTCATGGTCGCGTACTACTACGTGTGGGTGCGCAATGGCGAAAAGTGCATTCCGCCGGAGCACCAAAAGTAAATTTCCCATCAAACATCCGAAACGTATCCGGAAAATATGGACGCGATGAAATATTAATAATAGCTCGAGACGCGAGTCTACGAAAGCGGTGAATTTTAATATCATATCCATCAACTTGATCATCACAACCCCTCTCACTGGTTCCCCGCCCCGCTATCGTTCCACCCTCGAATCCACTCCCGACCATACGCCGCCCTGGTATCCGCGCTGCTCTTCTCGTCTAAAAACTTCTTACAATGCTCCGCCAACGACGCGTACGCCGCGTTCTCCGCCATCGCCCGCGGCGCCCGCTCCTGTCCCGTGAGCCACTTAAACAACTCCGGATTCTCCGCTCGCAGCACCTCATCGAACGCGTCCAAGAACTCCATCGACGCCGTCTCCGGGTCCAACGTCCGCGTCGCCCACGCCCCCACGACGATGTCGAGCTCCAAGAAACCGCGCTGCCGCGCTCGATACAGCGCGCGGTTGATCCGCGCGCGTTTCCCCGCCCCCTCCTCCACCGCGCTCGACGACGACGCGTTCGAACGCACGGCGATGCGCGATCGCACCTCGAGCGCTCTCGCGCACGCCCGTCGGAGCATCGAGACGCGGCGTCGACGTGTGACGAGGCAATGTGCCGCGGCAACCGTCGCCGCGCGGTCGCGCCCGAGTCGTCGACGCGCGGCGAGCGACGGGCGATGGGCGCGATCGGAGGGACGCACGCGGTGCGCGCCGCGCGCTCGACGTCGCCCATGGTCGATCGCGCGCGCGAGCGACGCGTGGAGCGGAGGATGAATGTGCATGCGATGACGACGACGCGGGTCACGGCGCTGCGGTACGACGCGCACCCGTACGTGGAGAGCGCGGACGCGAGCGTGAAGGAGTACGTCGAGGTGGCGAACGAGCCGGACGCGGTGGCGTTCGCGACGACGCGGAACGGTGGAAAGACGCTGTGCGAACGCTCGGGGGGACCGGCGTACGCGTCGTGCGCGGACGTCGCGGCGTCGGGCGGAGTTGATTTTAACGACGGCACTCGGGCGCTGCACGTCGGTCGAGATGTCATGCGGGGGAATCGGGCGGTATTTATTGTGTGCTTGGATGATGATGATGATGGCGTTCGAGCGGCGTTTGAGAAGGCGGCGGGGGGGAGCGAGTTGGCGCTCCGCGATACCAAGGAGGCGAGCTACGCGTTCGACATGGCGGACGCCGCCATCGTCGCCAGGGGCGCCGCGCTCTCGGCGTGGAGAGAAAAGCAAAAGTTTTGTCGGCAGTGTGGGACACCGGCACCGAAAATCGTGGGTGCTGGGAGGAAAGTGGTGTGCGGAAACTGCCGCGCGAGCGAGTATCCCGACCTCATGCCGTGCTGCTTGGCGCTCATCACGTGCGGGAACTACATCTTACTCGGTCGAAATAAACGTTGGCCGCAGAACTTCTACTCTCTCATAGCCGGTTTCGTGGAGAGAAGCGAAAGTTTGGAGGCGTGCGTCGCTCGAGAGGCGCTTGAAGAGGCGATGATTGCAGTCGATCCGAAGAGCATCGAGTACGTACGATGTCAACCATGGCCGTTTCCGAATCAATTAATGATCGGTTTCCGCGCCTCCGCGGCGCCCGAGCGGCTCGGACCGCTTAAGATGCCCCCTCAGCCGCAGACACACGACGGTGAACTCGCCGATGCCAGATGGTTCCACGTGGATTACCTCGCCTCGCGCCTGGCTCCAGACCGCGCGTTCGCCGATCCGAGAGGCGCCGAGGGCGAGAACGAGATCCCGTTCGGCGAGATCGCGCTCCCGGGCGAGCACGCCCTGGCGCGAGTGTTAGTCCAAGACTGGGTCGAAGAAAAGATGTCCTACCGACGGCGACGATGCGACGATCGACTCGTGACGACGGTGGTGGAGGGTTCATTTTTCACAGAGTGCGCGCTGTCGAGCGGAGACGACGAAGACGACGACAACGATTCTTCCGTGTTCGAAAAAGCTGAGTCCCTGCACTTCGTCATGGCCGAAGTTCTCTTAGCCCAAGAGGGTCAGGCCCCGGTTGTGCTCCGCGCCGCCCCCGGTGACCTCTCCAAGGTTCACCAAGACGTCGTCGCCGAGATCGAGCGCGTCGGCCAAGGCGCCCGCGCCGTCGCCTTCGTCCGCGCCACCGGTCGAATCCTCTGCGCGCGAGACGACGACGGGGCGCAACGGATAAACGTTAAAATGTTAAGCGAGACCTCCGACGAAGGGTTCGACGCGAGGAAGATCGTGGTGGCGATGATGCAAAAGGCGTGTCCGTTCCACGACTTTGCCTTTGTCGAGGTGTAATCACGGGCGATCGACCCTCGGGGACTCGACGACCATTCATGACTCATGACCGCATGCCTCGCGCCCGACACCCAAGGGGCCTCGCGCGCTTTATCCAAATCTCGAGCGGTCGCGCGTCCCGACGACGCGGCGCGACACACCTCGACGACCGTCGCGCGACCGCGGGCGAAGACCGTCTCGAATCAAACACCCTCGCGCGTCACGGAGCGATCGATCGACGCGATGGCGCTCGCGATGAAGTCCATGACGTCGACCAAGGCGTCGATCGCGTCTCGCCGCACGGCGACGGGACGCGTGCGCGGGCACCGCGCGGTGACGCGCTCCGCCCGAGTTGATGGCGGTATTTACAAAGAACCGCACCACGGTTTCTCCGACGAGTTCATCGAGGAGACGTGCGAGAAGTTCCCGGAGGAAGGGATTTGCGACACGTACGAAGCCATGGTGCTCCTCGTGGCGGGCGGGTACTCCATATTGGACGTTCGCGCGAAGAGCGAGATTGAGTTCGTCGGTAACTTCCCGCTTCGCAACGCGGCCCACGGGGCGAAGTTCAAGGAAATCCCGGTCATCAACGCCACGCGTAAGTACGACTCCGAGGTTGGCGCCAAGGTGTACCAGCAAACCATCAACACCGACTTCAAGAGCATGGTGGAGCGCGCGTTCCCCGATAAGGAGGCAAAGATCATCGTCGCCTGCTCCGACGGCCGCAACCGCACCCTTCAAGCGCTCGAAATGATGGACGAGATGGGCTACGTCAACATCTGCGGCCTCCGAGGTGGCTACAACATGTGGAACCGTGAGTTCGACTCCAACTTCCGCCGACGCAACTTGCCGGGCGTGTTCAAGGAAGAATACCAACACGGCGCCGATGGCTGCGGCGTGCACGCCACCGGCGCTGGCTTCCAAAACCAAGATGCGTTCCAGTTTGCGGACTGGCGTGACGACACTGAGTGGCTCGACGCGCTCGAGCCGGTCGCCGCGTGAGCGTAGCGGTTCCGATACAATTGTTAGCCAAATTTACAAAAGAAGATTCGAGATGTTATCACGCAGTCGGTGAATAATGAAGCACCGTCGGAAATAGCGCGCGCAAAGCAGCGTGAAATACTATATCCTAAATCATCTGAAAAAGATCAGCCCTCGTAGTCACGCCCGTACGTGTTGATCCAATCCAAAAGTCCCAATGACGAGGTTTCCGCCCTCCCGGACGTCCCCGACGTCGCTAACTCCCCGATTGTTGCCGCGCCGAACGTTGCGATTCCTGTGAACACGCCCAGCGGAGAGACTCGCATGCGCCTCGAACTCGCGGCGCCGACGCCAGTCAGCACCGCTTCGTGCTCAAATACGTCTAGAAACGCGTACGACGTCTTTTGTGCTGGTTTTGCCTCCAACATCGCCTCTAACGTAACGTAATGTACACCATGTCTATAATTATACATTCCAGGATGATCGTGTCCCGCGAGGCAAATCTTCACGCACCCGGAGTCTTCGATAATCTTTGAGACTTGGTCCGCGTTCCAAGCGGACATTTGAGGCCTCGCAGCGTTCGCTTGCAGAGCGTTGTGACTCGCCACAATCACGCGCTCACCCCTCTCCTTCGCCCGCTTGAGTTCGTTATCGAACCAAGCCAGTTGGATGGGACCGATTCCTCCGGACCACGGCGCGATGTCTTCTCGCCCAGAGGCGTATGCCTCCGTAGCGAAATCCAACGCCGACTGGTACTCTGGAGTGTCCTCCGCGATGTATCTCGGATTCAAATCCGTCGTATCGAGTACAATCAAAAGCCATCGTCGCGGTAACCGTTCGCTGTAGTACGCGCCGCGCTCGGCGTTTACGGCGCGTAGAAATTCGTCGCGCGACACCGAGAGGTCGTGGTTTCCCAAGCAGTGATGGAACCGCAGGTTCGATGCGTTCAAAATGCTCGCCACTTTCCCAAGATCATGTCTATTCCGCTCCAGCGTCGCCGCGCTCATTACCCCTCTCAACACCGGTCGTTTCGTCTTATCGTCCTCGTTGTATCCGTCGTACAAGTCTCCCAAATTCACCACCCCGCTCAGGCTCGACGCCTCGCGTTCGAACGCCGCCACCGCGTCCCGCAATCGCCCCTCCGCCGCTCGAAAGTATTTCACCCGTCCCGACCCATCGTCTCTCGTCTCGTCGTCCCTGTTCGCGTACTGCGCGTCCGCGAACAGGCCGAGCCGAAAACACCTCGACGCGTCCACGGCGTCCAAGCGTTTCGCCGATCCCCGCGCGTGCACCGCCGGACCTCGCGGGACGCGCCCGTGGTCCTCGCCGGACGCGCGCGCGGGGCGACATCGTCCGCGCGCGCGCGCGCCGGCGGGGCGCGACGTCGACGCGCGCGCGGACGCGAGCGTCATCGCGTGCGTCGCGCTGTCCCGCGCGCCCCGCTCGGCGTCGACCGCACGACGCGACGCGCGCGCGAGATGTTCGGCGGCGCGGGCGACGGCGGGGCGCCCGGCGCGCCGAACGCGTCGTCGTCGCCGCGCGCGCGGGCGTCGGATGCGACGGCGCGTTCGCCGTTCGGGCGAACGAATCAGACGACGGGCGTCGACGCGCCGGCGTTCGCGCAGCCGGGCGCGTGGACGCTCGGGAACGCGAGCGGGACGAGCGCGTCGACGGCGTTCGGTGGTGGGCAACCGTCGTCGGTGGTGTTCGGTGGAGCGTCGGGGGCGGCGCCGGGGATGACGACGTCGCCGTTCGGTTCGAACGCGCGGGCTTCGACGCCGTTCGCGCCCGTCGTGAGGTCGTCGCCGTTCGGTGGGTCATCCGCCGTGGGCGCGTCGAGCGCGTTCGGGGGGTTCGGGTCGTCGCCGACGTCGTCCACGCCGTTTACGGCGACGGCGCCCGAGGCGAAGTCCGAAGGAGGCTTCGGTTTCGGCTCTACGCAGACGCGCGCGGCTTTTGGGAGCAGTCCTTTCGGTGGACAGTCAACGCAGCCGTCGAGTCCGTTCGGCGCGTCCACGAGTCAACTGGCGCAATCTTCGAGCCCATTCGGTGGATTTGGTGCGTCGACGTCGGCGCCATCGCCGACGGCGTTCGGAGGGACGGCGTCGCCGATGAGTCCGTTTGGTGCTCAGGCGGTGGCCTCGAGTCCTTTCGGAGGGACGACTTCGGTGATCGCTTCGACGCCGGCGTTTGGCGGTGGTACTTTTGGCGCGCAGACGACACCCATGAGTAGTTTCGGCGGCGCAACCGCACCGATGACGGCACCAACAATCGCTTTCGGCTCAACTCCCGCGAACCAGAGCTTGAACGCGAGCGCGTCGCCGTTCGCTCCGACGCCAAGTTTCAAATCGCCATCCGTACCACAGCCGTTCACGTTTGGCGGAGCCCAACCAGATGACGACGCAAAGAAGGCATTTGTACCACCGAAGCCGCGGGGATTAGTTGAAAGGCTGACTAACGAGGAGCCATCGACGTCAGCCGTGATGGGAGAAGAGCTGGGAGAAGTGAGCGCAGGGAAGGGACACGTAGTTGGGACTTGCGATCTGATGTGTCCCGAGAGCGAACGAGAGTTTAGAAGTTCAACTGGCGATTTAGAAGTTTTTGAAAGGGTGGATTCAGCGGATCGAACGCGCTCAAGCGCGGATCTTTGCGTGAAGAAGTACACGCGGATTGTCGATGGTATCACGCCTGACATGGTTCGCACGAAGAAAGGGTTGCAGCTCGCGAGTGATCAACTCTGGAGGGTTTTAGATGGTAGAAGTGAGGACTTCATGACAAAGAGTAAGTTCCTGTGGGACAGGCTACGCTCGATTCGTCAAGACTTGAATCTACAGCAAATTACAGATTCTTTTGCAGTGAAGCTGATGGAGCAGATGGTTCGTTACACAATTTTGGCCGAACACGAGCTCTGCGAAGAAACCGCATCGGCCACGAATCCAGACGGTCACAACTCGCATTTGAACGTAGAGCAACTGACGAAAACTCTCACGTCATTGCGTCACATGTACGACGATCACGCTGCTCGTGGACAACGGCTTAGCGTTGATTCCGAGGCAGAGATGTACTGTTATCAGCTGTTGCTTAGAATCGACTCACACGGTCGATACGCCGTGCAGCGCTCGGAGATGCTGAACGATTTGCGAGGGGTCCGTCCTGAGGTTCTTGCGCACCCAGACGTCGTGTTCGCGCTCGAGTGTCACCGGGCCTACCGCGAAAGCAACGCCGCCGCCTTCTTCCGCCTTGTGAAGAAAGCATCCTACTTGCAAGCGTGCTGCCTGCACAAGTTTTTCAACAGCATCCGAGGCAAAGCATTGGAGATAATGAACTCGACTTTCGGAAAGTTCGCCATGGGGCTCACTGAAATCGCCCGCCTTTTACATACTGACGATATTGAGACAGAGGCGCTGTGTATTCACCATGGATTGAACGTGAGTCGGGGCAAGAGCGGCGAAAAACCACCCGCTGTGATCATGCGTGAATCGTCCTATATCTCCCCTGCGGAGGAGTTTCCTATTTGCCGTTCAGATTTAGTCACAAACAAGCGGTCGGAGTCGTATCTGCTAGAGATTGTTGGTAAGGACGAGGCGAGCAGAATCCTTGCGAAGAAGCTTCCCGAGGTGACTTCAGCCATCTCGCCTTCACAACCGCTCAAGGCAGCTCCCGCTCAGTTGACGGAGGCGGAGAAAAAGAAAAAGCAGGCAGACGAGTTGCGAGCTAAGATAGCCGAGCGAGAAGCGGCCCTCGCCGCTGAGCGCGCGGCAATCGCCGCCAAGAAGCGAGAGATTGAGGAGCGCAAGGCTGCGGAGAAAATTGCTGCCGATGAGGCTGATCGAAAAGCAAAGGAGGCTCAAGAGGCGGCAAAGCGCGCGGAAGAGGAGGCTAGAGCGGCCGAAGCCAAGGCAAAGGCAGAAGCGGAAGCCGCTGAGGCTGAACAAAGACGGATTGCGGAAGAGGCAGCTCGAGCTAAGGCTGAAGTAGAAGCACAAGCTCTCGCAGAAGCTGAGCGAAAGCGAGCCGAGGAAGAGGCTGAAAGGCGACGACTCGCCGCGGAGCAACGCGCTCGAGAGGCAGCTGAAGCAGCGAGACTAGCTGCCATAGCAAAGATGGAGGCCGAGGAGCGTGCGCGTCGAGCCGCAGCCGCTGAGAAAGAACGCCAGCGGCTGATTGCTGAGGAGACGGAGCGTCGGCAAGCTGCTGAAGCAAAGGCGGCACGGAAAACAGCCAAAATGCAGATGATGGTCAAACGTCTTTCGTTCTCTCTATGGCGCATGAATGCGAAAGAATTCAAGCGAGAGAGGCTGATTGATGATGCACTACTCATGGCGAGTCCTGCGCCTGCATTGAACATGGGTCGTAAAGGGCTCTTCTCTGTGAGCGCTGGGTCGGCGCGACCGACAGACGTGCTGGCGCAACTTCGTGAAAGAATCGAATCATCGCGCTCTCCTGAGTTCGGTACGGCTTTGGATATGTCGCAGACGATCGGTTTAGCGCTACACGACGCCGCTGCAATGGCAGCACCAAGCGCTTTGGTTTGGAAATGTCTCCTTTGCACAGGCGCCGAGGCTGATTCCGGACCGCGGGCGTCGTCGCGACCGCGAACACCTTCAGCCATGATAGCTGCCGAGTGGCTCCGAAGTAAGCTTACTAGAAGTGGCGGCGCGTCCGTGACCACGACGGGCACGGGAACAATCCTCTCACTGTACGGCACCCGGCTTCCGGCCCTCGGGGCTGGGCAGGAAAGTGGCTTTGAGATTGGTCCGCTCGCTTGGATCGTGGTGAGAGACGTACCTGCGATGATGGAACGCCCGGAAGGCGCGGATAAGGGTGCGTCAGCGGGTATTTTCATCCTTGATTGCGGTGATGGTATGTGCGATGACCATGAGTTAACGCGTTTGCGAGCGTTTCACTCCGCCGTTGAAAGAGGTGACACGCCGCTCATAATCTTAGTTGTATCTCGAGAAGGCGCACGCCGTAAGGATATCGAGCGCTCCATCGAAAGCATTGGCATCGCAGATGCGTTGGTGACATTCCTCCCGAGCGGAAGTCCAGAGATGTGGGCGGATGAGAGATTTGGCGAAATGCTCGTCTGGGCGGCCGAGCGCTCCCCGAAGGCTCCGCGAAGGAGGATTGCGTATTTATCTTCGGAAATAGAAGAGGCTCTGCGTCCCGGATACATCAACTTGACGGTCAAGCCGCACGTGAATCCGAAGGCGTGTGTTCGCGCATTCAACGACGCGCTCGATCAGGTAGAGTCGAAGATCCTGGAGGCTGCGAGGAGCGACGATGGAGCTGAGTGGCCTCCAGTTGAGATCAGTCTGGTGGACACCGCGCTGCCGCCTCCGGGATGGAGATCTGAAGCACGTCGCAGAAAGGTGATCAATCTGCTTAATTCTGTTCGGTTGCCTGATTTTATTGTCGGGGAAAATCCAGCGCACGCATTCATCGAGTACGTGGCGAAGGTTTTGCCGCAGTATCCGGACGAATATGGACGCTGCATGCTTGCGCAGGTGCAGTACGATCCGCATTTTCACAAGCGAGAAGACGTCCCCTGGGTCAGCTTATTCCAATCACTGATCACGCTCTTACTGAGTGGATTGGAGAGTCGCAGTCGCGACGAGCGCATATACCTGCCGCCGGGCCATCCATCGTACACACACATTCCGTATGAACCGGAGCCAGAGCTCTTGACGACAACGCCTGCTTCGGCACCGAGCCAATCCACGTCGCGCAAGCGAAAGCTCGACGAGCCCGATTCCCGTCCAAGCACGAATCGAATCGTCGAGCTTGATTCCGTACCGCTCGACCTATCACGCGCGGCCGCGGATGATTTGCGCCGGCGCGTCGCCGCCCAGTCGCGCATGTTGGACGCTTCCGAGCGTTGGCTCGCCGCAGTCGCATCCAACGCCCCCGGCACCACCGACGACCCATCCGCGTACGATGACATCGATACCATCATACCATCCCTCTTAGCCGCCGAGCGCGCCGCAGAGGCTCGGCTTCGCGCTCTCTTAGACGCCACCTAGCGGACAGTTGTCAGTCGCGCGTCGACGCCTTGCACAAACTTTCTCACGCCTCTCCTTTACGTCTTCACTTCGCATCGAACGGCGCGCGCGTCGCCCAGTCGCTCGCTAAGCGACAAGTTAACGTCTCTATCTCACCGCGCGATCGAGACGTCGTCGATTCACGCGCGTCGACGATGCCGAGCGCGAACGATGCGTCGGGACCGGCGGCGGCGGCGGCCGAGCGACCGAAGACGCTCTACCAAGGCGTCGAACGCGATGGATTCGGCATGCGATTGCTGAGCAAGATGGGATGGGTCGAGGGTAAGGGGCTCGGGAAGAATAAGGACGGGATCGCGACGCACGTGCGGGCGAAGAAGCGCATGGATTTCGTCGGCGTCGGCGCGGACGCGAGAAACGACGCGAGCGGAAAGACGGCTGTGGATTGGACGATGAACACGCTCGCGTTCGACGACGTGCTAAAGTCACTGAATCGAACGCATAGTGCAGAGAGTTTGGAGCGCACGGTGACGACGGCGTCGTCGTCGTCAGAGGAGGAATTGGAGGAGGCGCCGGCGGAAAAGAAACGTAAAGCTAGCAAGGAGGAGCGTCGAGCGGCGAAGAAGGAGGCGAAGAGGGCGAAGAAGGAGGCGAAGAAGGCGAAGAAAAACGAAATAGTGGTGAATCGGTCTGTGGTGAGTCACGCTGGGCGGTATCAGAAGCGAGTGTCTCAAAAGATGGTTTCGAATTATAGCTCGCAGGATCTTGCACAAATTTTAGGCGGCGGATTCGTGAGCGTACCGGAGGTGCGGGCCGACAACGCGGGCTCGACGAGCGCGTCCGAAGAATCGAAGGAAGAGGAAAAGACGGGCAACGGTGAGAAGAAAAAGCTCATCGCTGTTGAAAGACCGAAGTGGGTGTTTGATCCCCCGCCAGAGGATTGGTGGGGATGGCGAGTGGGATTCCGACCGGAGGGACACGGCAAAAAGGATGTCGGAGAAGACGTCGACGCGCTCGAGCGAAAACGCGGATTCGACGAGGACGATCAAATTAATCTATTCCAGGACACGCACGCCGGGGCAAACAAGAACCGTCAAGGTTTGGGCGCCAAGCGAGGGCGAGACGCGGGTGCTGATTTCGCGGGGTCGAAAAAGACGTTCGGCGAAGGCGATGAGATCACCGACGCCGAGCGAGCGGTGATCGCAAAGGCGAAGCAAGTGAAATGGCAAAAGATTGCGTTGAAAATGCTCTCCAAGGCCGACGGATCGATGAAGACGAAGAAGTTCAGGGAGAAGGTTCTGCAAAAGTGCGGCTGCGCCGAGTCCGAGCGCGACGTGTACTGGGACGCCGCCTTCCACGTCCTCTCTCGAACCGAGGCGTTCACATCGCTCGAGGAAGACGTCGTCAAGCTCATAAACAACTAGCCATTTTGATATTGAACACGCAGCGCAACAAAGAATCAATCGTTTAAAATACAAATCACGCCGCCATCTCGGCCCGCCACTCGTGTCCGCACGTCTTACACGCGATGAGCGCCACGCACGCGTCACCGCCCGACCCCCCACCCCATATCTCAGCCTTACGCACGTCTCTCCTATCGCTCAACACCACGTACACGCAATCGAACCCATCGCAACTCTCACACTTGTGCGCGTCCGTCTCCGTCCCGCCCGTCGACCCGAGCGCGCGCGTCCGTCCCGCGTCCAACTTTTCCACCATCGCCGCGTCCGCCCGCCGCCTCGACGCCGTCGCCAGCTCCCTCGGTCCCAGTCGCACCAGCGTCTCCGCCTCGATCGCGCCGCATCGCACGCCGCGTCGCAGCGATTCATTCGCTCGCAGATTCGCCCACAGCCTGCGCACGGTGGCTCGATACGCCCGTCCCGTCCCTCCCATCCGCGCTCGGATCGCCGCCTCGACCGCGCGCGCCGCGTCGTACAACGGCGTGTCGTCCCCGAGCGCGTCGCCCAGGAGCACGGTCGAGCGCGCGCGCACGTCGTCGTCGTCGTCGTCATCATCGTCATCATCCATCGTCTCGCGCGACATCGTCTGACGCCGCGCGTTCATGTCGCGCGCGATCGCGCCCTCGAGCGCGGCCGCGGACGGGCGCGACGACCGCGCGGTCGCGCTCGCCGCGCGCGAGGTCGCGGGACACGCTTTGGCGGGCGCGGTGGCGGGATGCGCGGTCGAGGCGGCGTTGTACCCGCTGGACACGCTCAAGACCCGGCTCCAAGCCGCGCGCGCGGGGACGCGGGCGCTCACCGCGCGCGGGGCGTACGCGGGGGTGTTGGGGAATCTCCTGGGCGTCGCCCCGGCGAGCGCGCTGTTCTTCGCGGCGTATGAACCGGCAAAGGTGGCGCTCGGGCGGGCGGCGGGACGCGAGCCGGGGGCGCGAGAACACCTCGCGGCGGCGGCGTTGGGGGGATTGGTGAGCAGCGTCGTGCGCGTGCCCACGGAGGTGATAAAGACGCGGCGGCAGGTGGGGGTTGGGGGGGCGACGGGGCTGCGGGCGATCGTCCGAGCGCACGGGGTGGCGGGACTCTTCGTCGGGTATTGGTCATTCTTATTGCGGGATCTCCCGTTCGACGCGATCGAGTTCGCGGGGTACGAGGGGTTGAAGAACGCGTGGAGAGAAACGGTCGGTAGAGATTCGTTGAGTGCGGGGGAGGCGGGGGTGTTGGGGGCGATCGCGGGCGCGGCGACGGGGGCGGTGACGACGCCGCTCGACGTCGTGAAGACGCGTTTGATGACGAGTCCGGAGACGTATAAAAGCGTCGTGCACTGCGTCAGGAAGACGGTGGCGGAAGAAGGAGCCATGGCGCTTTTCAAAGGGGTCCAACCTCGCGTGCTGTGGATCGGTCTGGGTGGGGCGTGTTTCTTCTCCGTATTGGAAACCGCCAGAGGCGTCTTCGTTTCGCCCGAGGCGTCCACCGAGCGCGCGACGCGATCGAAGCGCGACGCCAAATCGAAGAAACGAGACGAGTGACCCGTCGCTCGCGGTTTCAGACGTAGCCCATCGCTCGATTCGCGCACATTTGTTTGTCAATACCCGTCGCTCGCCGCCGAATGCGTCACTCGTCTCCATGCGCACCGCGCTCGGGCGCGTTCGCGAGCGCGCGCGGCGGTTCGCCACCGATGCCGCGCCCGCGTTCGCGACCGCGGTCGCCGGTCAACCCACCGCGGAGACGCACCCACACGTGATTCGCGCGCGCGGCGACCTCACCCCAGGGGTCTCGCGCGCGGCGTACGCCGAGCGACGCAACGCGCTCGCCAGGGCGCTCCCGCCGCGGTCGTGCGCGATATTGACGAGCGCTCCAGGGTTGAAATTCCCGGGAACGGTGATCCCGGCGGGACGGTACAGACAAGACGCGGACTTTGGGTATCACACGGGCGTGACGCAAGCCGAGTGCGTAGCCGTCGTCGAACGCGGAGAGTCCGAGCGTGACGTCACGTATACGTTGGTCGTTCCCGAGTTCTCGGAGCGGTATACGACGTGGGACGGTGAGAGAATCAACGCGGCGGCGGCGGAGAGCGTGTTCGGGGCGGATGAGGCGTACGAGAACGGCGAGCGGGCGGTGGGACGCGTGGCGGACGCGATGCGACGCGCCGTGTGCGGGGTGTTTGTGGACGTCGATAAAGTGGACGAAGATTGCGAGGTGGTGAGAAGAGCAATGTCAGCGGTAGCTCTGCACGCTCGAGAGCGAGATGGAGTTCGTCCTCTACGAGGCATCGCGCACAGGCTGCGGTGGAAAAAGAGTGAGGAGGAGTTGGAGTTGTTAAAGAGGAGCGTAGATTTAGATGTTCGTGCGTTCGTGCGGGCGTTTCAAACGAGCGAGGTGGGTCAAACGGAGGCAGCGGTCATGGCGCATCACGAGGCGGAGATCAGAATAGGTGGTGCCGATCGTTTGGCGTACCCATCGGTGGTCGCCTCAGGCGCAGGCGCGTGCGTCGTGCACTATCATCAGAACGACAAGATGCTCGAAGAAGGCGATCTTTTGCTCATGGACGCCGGTTGCGAGCTCAATGGCTATGTGAGCGATATCACGCGCACGTGGCCTATCAACGGGAAGTGGACGCAGGCGCAGCTAGACGTGTACTCAGTCGTCCTCGAGGCGCATCAGGAGTGCCTTCGAGCCTCGCGCGCGGACGGCGATACCTCTCTCATGGACATCCATCGGCTCTCCATAGACATCCTGGCGAAGGGTTTAGCTAAGCTCTTACCACACACGTCGGCAAAGAGACTCATTCGTACTGGAGAGTACGCCAAGTATTATCCCCACTCGGTCGGTCACTGGCTTGGAATGGACACGCACGACGTGCCATCCATTTCCGTGTCCACTCCGTTCGAACGCTCGGTCGCTTTCACGATCGAACCTGGATTATACTTCGCCCCCAGCGACATCACCATCCCCAGAGACCTTCGCGGGATCGGGGTCCGGATCGAAGACGACTGCTTCATCGACGCCTCTGGCGACGCCGTCAGTCTCTCCGCCAATCTGCCCGTCGACCCCGACGCCGTCGCCGCGCTCGCTTCGTCAACCTTTTTTAGACCCCTGTAGTGTATCATCCGTGCCCCTTGCCTCACCGACTGTCACCCGTGGGCGTCCCGTCGTCGACGTTTCACTACGCGTCTCCGCGCGTCCATGAACGTTTTGAAATGCAACGCTCGAAACCAGCCGCCGACACATTCCATACTGTTTGCCCATATTGCGTTGGCACTCCCGCCGTCGTGCCCACGCCACCGACTACCTCCGGTCGCCATCTCGCGACGACCGCCTCCGTGCGACGGCGCTCGCGAGTCGCAAACCGGGCCGATCGATCGAGGAACTCGTTTTCTTCAGTCAACGCGCGTTTGCTTCGTCATCGCCGGTAAAGACGCGCTCGGGGAGCGCGCACGCGAGACTTCGGAGGACAGTCGCGATCGCGCGCGAGCGATGCGGCGATGCGTCGCGTGAGCAAACCCAACTTTGCGAATAAACGGAGCGTCAAGGCGTCGATCGTTGGAGAACTTTTTTCTTCCCCCGTTCGAGTGTTTTATTCAATCTTGTTCATCTGCGCGCTCGAGGTACGGGGATGATTCGACGCGATGGACGTGAGCCGCGAGTTCGCGCGGGAACGACGATGCGGCGCGCGATGCGCTTTTAAGACGACCGCGTGACTGACGATTGGCGTGTACGCGACGTAGGTTTTACTCTGGTCCGTGGTCTTGGTCCCGGGACGCACGTCGGGGGCCTGGAACGACGCGGCGCAGGCGTATTACACGCGCGAGACGGTGCGTGATTCCGAACGTTGACTCGCTCGACCCAGGAGAAGAAAGATGAATGAATCAGTGTGTTGGACGACTCGGTGTTAGTTTGTTGAAAAGCTTCGATGCGACGAGACGTCGCATCGTCACGGCGTGCGTACGTGCATGGCTCGGACACTGACCGTCGTGACGCGAATCGGCTCGCTTTACGCGAACAGGTGAACTTGAAGTGCGCACACGGAGCTTCCGTACGCGTACCATTTCCAGCGATAGATCTACGGAGTTTACAGCTCGCGTGGAAGGAGGAAAGTTCTTGGCAGAAGAAGGCGCTAAGCAGTCTATCTACGACTCTAGCGCCGAGTAAAGCGCAACAGGTGAAACAGTCGCTACAGGCACGTCTTAAGCATCTAGACGAGCAACTTCTGATCGGCAGTGCTTCCGAGTTGGGGGCGAGCGAGGCGGCGGCAAACGCGAAGAGTGTCCTTTCTTTTTAGAGGGTGTATATTCTTTGTGTATTACTATAGCTGCTCGCTAGTCAACTGACTTAGATTCACTACAAGACAAGAACAAAACTTCAGTCGCTTATACGACAACGAATAAAACAAATCAAATGGGGAAAACAGAAGTGTCCGCGCAGACGCTGCTCCAACGCCGCGGGCGGCTCACCCGTCCGCGGCGACACGGTGAGGAATATGTGGAGGTTTCGATGCCCACCGTAGCGCAGACGTCCGTTTTTAAGGATATCGCGCGATTTGTGCCGGTGAAGGACATTATCGCCGGGGGATTGGCTCGAGCGGCAAGTCAAAGCACGATCCATCCTTTGGACACGGTGAAGGTGCGCATGCAAGCCGCCTTGAAGGGTGTGTCTACGACTGCCGCGAGCACTCTGCCGAGCGGTGGTAAGTACGGTGTGGGTTTGGGTGCGGTCACGAACGGTGCGGTGAGCCTTGGGCAGCGATCTTTGACGTCCGCGGCGAAGGCTGGAGCGCTTAAGGCGACTGCTGAGCTCGGTATGTTATATAAGGGCTGCTTCGGCGCCGCCTCCGGTGCGGGCCTTGCCATTGGTACGTACTTTGCGTTCTACGGCACTGCAAAGAAGTTGCTGCAAGAGAAGTCTGATATGCCCGTCTCGACGATCGCTTTCGTCGCGGGAGGTATCGGCGCTCTCGGCTCCTCCATCGTCAAAGTTCCCGCCGCCGTTTGCATCCGTTCGGTGCAAGCCGGTGTGTACCCGAACGTCATCACCGCCGGACGCAGAATCACCGCAGCCGCCGGTCCCCGGGGTTTATTCACCGGTTATATTCCAACGCTTCTTGAAGATGTCCCAGACATGGCTGTCAAGTTTGCAGCGTATGAGACTCTTCGAACGATGCATCGCACGTTTACAAAGAAGAGCAAGGATGAAAGTAGCGCTGGTGCCGACATCGCGATGGGCCTCATCGCGGGCTCCGTCGCCGCCGCCGCTACTACTCCTTTGGATGTGGTGAAAACCCGGATGATGTGCAACGCCTCATCTCGCCCCAGCTTCGGCGGCGCCATTATGAGCGTTTGGAAAGACTCGCCCGCAGGCACGGGTCGCGTCCGAGCGTTCTTCACTGGCGTTCGTCCTCGCGCGATTTCGAATGGTATCAATTCGGCCATCTTCTTTTGCTTCTACGAAGCCCTTCGCTCCGGCATGGTTCGTGCCGAAACCGAACGCGAAGAGCAGCGTCGTCGTGAAAAAGAGGCTGGTGTCGATTTGAAGAGCTGTCGACGCGCGTTACACAACAGCGGAGTGTCCGTCGACGCCGTGCACTACTCTACGCACTCACACGTGGGTCGTGTCACCGAGGCGTCGATGACTCTCGCGCTGTCCAAGAAGAAAAGAAAGAATGCTTAAGAAGCATGTTTTTCGCATCACGTTTTGTTAACACTGGTACGTCCTGTCTTGTAATGTGACTTCTTTTGGAGTCAGAATTTGTCTCGCCGCTTTGTTTCGCCTTCATGTTTATACTTGATACTCTGACGGTCTTGACTTGATATTCACAATCCTACGGTAACCTATATCCATTCATATTATGATTACGGCGACGGCTGATCCGGCGCATTCTGCGACGGCACGGCGAGCGAGAGCTGCTCTTGGTGCCGGAAAGCTTGCGCGCGAGCCGCGTCGACGTAGTTCAAAATCTTGAGACGTGGCCCTGGGGGAATTCGCACCTCTTGAAGGGCGCTATCGTTCAGCAACATGAGCGTGTCATCCGTGAGAAGACCCTTACGGAAGTTTTTCTCGTACTTTTCGAGCCCAAGTTTCGTAAGCATGTGTGTGCCGTGTGCGTAGAGGTAGTCCTGCGTCGCGTCCTTCCCGCTGAACATCTGTCCGACCTTCATAAACGCCCCGTTCAACAGCGCAAAGAGCGCGCCCGTCCTCACCGCGTCGGTCGCCACGCCGGCGGCATCTTTCGGCGCTTCCCCGCCCATTGCTGCGCTCGGCGACCCGGTCGCGGCACCGACGAGACTCAACGCGCTCCCGGCGCCGAACATCGCCATCATGGACCCCTGAATATCCTCCACGCCGCCGCGATACTTCTTAATCGCCAGCGTCAAGCCCTGCTGCACCGCCGAGAACACGGCCAAATTTAACGCGAGTACCTTCGGCGGTCCACTGAAGCTCCCTTGCGCCATCGGCGGTTTCGCTCCCGGCATCGTCGCCGCCTGCGCCTCGAGCGACTTGTTCATCACGCCCAAGCCGTAGCCGAGCACGCTCCCTTGCGCCGCGCCTCCGAGCGTGCTCACCCCGATCTCCACCTGCGCGAGCGAGAAACGCGTACATCCGTCGTCAGTCTTCCCGACGCGAGCGAGCCCGCGTCGCGCGTCGTTCACCACGGGAAGCAATCTTCCCAGCCGTCATCGCGCGATCGACCTAGAACCACTCGTCGCGATCGCGTCGGCATCGACCGCGTCGCCTCGCTCGACGCACCGGCGCGGACTGCGCGCGGAGCCACGCGTCGAACTGTTCCTTCTTCGCCTTGAACGCATCCATGGCGGCGCGAGACGAGGTGTGCGGCGGCGAACGAACGCGTGCCACTCGGGACGCGCTGAAGGCACCGCGCGGCGCGGCGGGCGAACCGACGAGCGACGTCGAGGGCGTTACACGCGGTGACGACGCGCGGGCTAGGTCGAGCGCTCGGCGCGCGCGGTTGGCTTAATTTTCTTCTTCCGCTTCTTCCGCGTTCTCTCGCGGGCGCGAGCGTCGTCGTGGACGTCCACCGGGTCGACCGTCGCGGCGGGAACCGACGTCCGCGCCGTGGCGTCGTCTCTCGAGCGTTTCAATCGCTTTCGCTCCGCTTTGCTCATCCTGCGCTTCTCCTCGGGACGATGTAGAGATGATGCGGGTTCTTCGACGCGCTCGACGCGCGCGCGCGCGTCCGATGGATTCGCGTTCGACGTCTTCGTCGCCGCGCGAGCCGTCGCGGACGTCGTCGTCGCGCCGCTCGCGCTCGTCCCGCGCGCGTCGCCACCCAGGAGCGCCGCCGCGGTCATCGTCGACCGTAAGTGCGCCAACAGCGCCTCCGATTTCGCGTCCACCGTTCGGTGCGCGTGCTGTTCGCGATCGGCGTCGGCTTCCTGTCGAGCGAGCGCCGCGCGGTTGGCGGCCGCGACGGCGATGCCAGAGTACTTCGCCGTGCTCATTCGTCGCGTGCGGTGCCGCGCGCGAGGCGTGAGCGGCACAGAGGCAGTCGACGCAGCGTCTCACGTCCGCGCGCGGCGCGGTGAGCGACGACGCGTGCCCGCGGGGAGATTTCACTTTTTCTGCTTCGTGTGGTTGTTGTACACATCGCCTAGATGGTCTACGGCTACGGCGTTAATAGTTCCAGTAATAATTCTTCCCGGTCGATTGGTTGCGGTTCATGCGGGAGTTGCGGCTTCGACGAGGCGGGGAGGACATCCATGCCGCCGCGTCGTGGCCGTATTGAAAGTCGTTGGTCGACGCGGAGGACCAAGAGCTCGATCTCGTGTATCTGGCATTATCGCCGTGGGAGCGAATGCGTTCAGTCTCGTCGTAGACGCGGCGAAGCGCTGGATCGCTCAAGTTTGCGTTGGTCTCGCCCAAGAGCTTAAAGAGACGATCAGCATCGTCGTGCAACTCGTGAGCGGGCGCCCACGCGGGCATGCTTCGATTTGCCTTGTCCGGGTGATACTTGAGCGCCAAATTGCGATAAGCCTTCTTGATATCCGCCGCTGATGCGTTCTCCTTCAGATCTTCGAGTCCAAGAATGCGGTACATGTCTACCTGCGAGTTTCTCTGCGTGTCTTTGATGGTTTCGAGTCGTCGCAGTCGGTCTGTCGCCATGGCCAAGGCGTCTTTTCGCTCACGCTCCGTTGAGAACAGCGAGTACTGCGCGTTACCAGCAATCTCAATGTACGAACGCAAGTCATCTATCGCATCTTCCCAACATCTTATGCTCTCGTGCAACGTCGCACGTCGACTTAGCGCCTTGATGTTCCACGGATTGAAGGACAACGCTCGTCCACAGTCGGCCAAGGCGTTGAGATATTCGTTCAAGCCTTGATATGCTGCGGCTCGATTGCCGAGGATGACGGAGCAATAAGCCGCCGCTATGGGTTGCGTGCCGAACTCAAACGCCTTCGTGTACGCGACGACGGCCTCAGTGTACTCCTTAGCGTTGAATAGTTTGTTGCCCTCGTCCTTGCCATTGAGCATTGCGCGCGCCATCGCGAGCATCTCCACGTCAATGTCGCATTTTTCCAGTCCTTCCGCGTACTGACATGCTGACAATGGGTCGCCTTTACCAAATTTCGACATGAAGACAAAGTCCGATACCCATGAATCGTTTGTGAGCCCAAGACGATCGATCTCCGCCACGAAGTCACTCGCTTCCTGGTACGCTCCACATACGATGTAGAGAGTCGCTTTTGCCTCGATGAACGCCTTTCCATTCTCACCGGATGAAATGAGAGGGTAGTGGGCGAGTGCGGAAACACTCCGCACGATGCCCGTGTGTGTATCATTCAGAACACGCGCGCGACTGTCGTTGTATAGTCGAGGGAGACCGGGTTGGCACGTCCCGAGCGCGAGCGCGGACGAGAGAACCTTGTTTAAATTCTCATTTGCCGCTTTAGCTTCCACCTTTACGTGTTCCATTTCGATATCGTCAGAAGATGGACTGTCTTCTAAGCATTGTAGAGCGGCGGTGAAATCACCGAGCTTCATGTGACACGACGACAATCGCACGCGTGCCCGCAAGTACGTTGGATCTGCTCGCGTAGCGCGTTCGCAGTCTGTGAGTGCCTTGAGCAGAAATGTTCGCCGCTCGTCGTCTGGAGTGGAATCGGTCGGAATCATCATTCTCGCGGCCGCCCTGTTGGTTAATAAAACGGCTGCATCGCGTCCAACGAATATATCAATCGCATGCCCCAAAGGACTCTCATTATCTTTGTCGAACCCGGCGTTTGTTCTTGGCGCCGCCGCGAACTGCATGATTGCTCTACTGTACAACTCGTCTGCCTCGGCGTACAACCCCTTTCCGTACAGCTCGTTGCCCTCTTGTCGGAGCTTCTCGGTCTGCTGCAAATCACATTTATCGAGCGTTATCTTTGACGTCAATTCCTCAACCTCGGAGACGGTGGGTGTGGTCGGCGTTCCACCGCTCACGGTGCGTCTGATACTTCCAGCGCGTTGCGCGTACCTATTGTTACTACGAGGCTTGGGCGTGGGCTGCACACCATCTGTTCCCATCTTGAAAATCCCACCGGCTTCATTCGATGCATCAAAGGACGACGACGCGCGTGAGGAGGGCGAAGTCGCGACGGACGCGCGCGAGGTGAAGAACGCGCGCGCTGGGGCGTCGACGGTGCCGCTGGGACGGACGGGGGGGGGTGGACGGACGCGCGCGGGGGGGGCGTACGTGCCGCCGTTTAAGCTCGCGCAGATGATGCGCGAGACGCGGGATAAGAGCTCGGAGGAGTATCAGAGAATGGCCTGGGACGCGCTGAAGAAATCGATAAATGGGTTGGTGAATAAGGTGAACGCGTCGAACGTGGCGAACGTGGTGCCGGAGCTGTTTCGGGAGAATTTGATTCGCGGACGCGGGTTGTTCGCGAGGAGCGTGCTCAAGTCGCAGATGGCGTCGCCGCAATTCTCTGGGGTCTTCGCCGCGCTCGTGGCGGTGGTGAACACGAAATTTCCGGAGATTGGAGAGTTGGTGATCAAGCGAAGCGTGTTGCAGTTTAGAAGGGCGTATAAGAGGAACGATAAGCCGGTGTGCGTCGCGGCGACGAGGTTTTTGGCGGCGCTCATCAATCAGCAGGTACGTCGACGTAACGCGACGCGCGCGCGCGCGAAAACTTGAACGTGACAGATGATGAATTATGATCACGCAACACTCACTGATTTCCGTGAGGATCCACAATCATATACGAGCTTTTTAACACTGATGTCACGAGGCGGGCGCGAGCGCGCGCGTCGCGCGCCGAGCGCGACGCGCGAACGCGAACGTGGGCGAGCGACTGACCTTTTACGCGCACGATTTGAACGCCTCGCAGCTCATTCACGAATTACTCGCTCTGGAGCTGCTCACCGTGCTCCTGGAGACGCCGACAGATGACAGCGTAGAGGTGGCGATTGAGTTCGTCAAGGAGTGCGGTTTCACTCTTCAAGAGCTCACGCCGCAGGGTTTGCACGGAATATTTGAGCGATTCAGAGGGATTCTCCACGAAGGAGAGATCGATAAGCGCGTGCAGTTTATGATTGAGGGGCTTTTTGCGTTTCGAAAGAGTGGTTTCGAGGGAAAGAGAGGCGTCCCGCCCGAGCTCGATTTAGTCGAAGAGGACGACCAACTAGTTCATGAGATTGGTTTGGACGACGAGATGCAGGCGCAGGCTGGTTTGGACGTCTTCAAACAAGATCCAGAGTTCGAGGAGAACGAACGTAAGTACGCCGATATTCGTCGAGAGATCCTGGGGGAGTCGAGCGAGAGCGAGAGCGAGAGCGAGAGCGACGGCTCATCCAGTCGTTCGTCGAGCTCAAGCTCGAGCGAGGGTGCCAAGGCGGATCCGGCGAACCGCGGACCGGGAGAGATGGAGATCGCCGATCTCACCGAGACCAACTTAGTAAATCTTAGAAGAACGATCTACCTGACAATCATGTCATCTTTGGACTTTGAGGAGGCTGGTCACAAGTTGATGAAGTTGAACATTCCTCCGGGTGCCGAGGTGGAGCTGTGCACGATGCTCGTCGAGTGCGCGTCGCAGGAGCGCACGTACCTGCGGTACTATGGCTTGTTGGCGCAGCGATTCTGTTTCATCAACAAAATATACCCCCGACTCTTCGACGAGGTGTTTATGAAGCAGTACAGCACGATTCATCGATTGGAGACGAATAAGCTCCGAAACGTTGCCAAGTTTTTCGCCCACTTGCTCTCGACGGATGCGATGTCGTGGACGTGCCTGGCGTACATATCCCTCACCGAAGAAGCGACGACTTCGAGCTCGAGAATTTTCATCAAGATTCTCTTCCAGGAGCTCGCGGAGGCCATGGGATTGAAATCGCTCAACGAGCGGCTGCAGGATCCGGAGATGCGCGAGTACTTTCAAGGTATCATGCCAAAAGACGAGCCGAGGAACACGCGCTTCAGCATCAACTTCTTCACCTCCATCTCCCTCGGCGCTCTTACGGAGGATATGCGCGAGTGGTTGAAAACCGCACCTAAGACGGCACCGAAGAGATCGACCTCGAGCAGCAGCAGTTCGAGCAGCAGTTCGTCCTCGGGCTCGGGATCCTCGAGCTATTCGAGCTCGTCGTCGAGTTATTCACGCTCATCCAGTCGATCCCGAGGTCGAGGTCGTCGACGCCGCCGATCACCATCGCCGAGCTCGTCATCGTACACGTCATCGTCATCGTCGTCATCTCGCTCGCGAGACGACCGTAGAAAACGTTCGCGTCGATGAAATCCCAGCGCGCCGCAACAACTCGGCGACACACGCGCACTCGCGCGCGCGCGTCGCCCTCGTCCCATGCGCTTCGCCCTCGACCCCGACCGCGCGAAACGTCGAAATAAACCGTCAACGACGTCCAGACGCGCGGTGGAGCGCACGAAGCGCGCCGAACGCGCCGAGCGAGACGCCGAAGAAGCTGAAAAAGTTCTTCGTGACTTTGAGCACGAATTCGGTGACGACGACGCGAAACGTGCGCGAGAGGACGGCGATGACGATGACGCGCGCGCGGTGCGTATTGATGCCGCGACGAAGCGAGCGCGGGTGATGGACGTAATGCTCGAGGAGTTCGTGGCGAACGACGAGCGACGACACGAGTTGGCGCGCGAGCGCGCGTGCGAGGACTCGGCGACGGCGCGTGCGGGCGGGAGAGACACATCAGAGGGAACGTTGGATCGCACGACAAACATTCGCGTGCACGGATTACCGCGAGACGTGGATGAGCTGTCGCTCGCGCGGTCGTTCGAGCGGTTCGGCGGCATCGCGAGCGTGAAAATTTGGCAGCCGCGAGAGGGTGAGATCGAGAGCGGGACGACGGGTGGGTACGTGTGCTTCATGTCGAGGACGAGTGCGGAGCGAGCGGTGCGAGAGATGCGAGGGGCAACGGTTTTGGGGAGCGTGGTTGACGTAGAGGAGGCCAAGGCGATGCGTCTGCCCGAGCGCGCTTCGTGGCCCACGAACGAGAGTGAAGCCAAAGCCGCGGAGCTTCTGTCAAGGGCGGCCGCGAAAACGATCAGGGAGGCGCCACGTCAACAGCCAGCGGCGACAAGCTCGGCGTACGGTGCGCCCGACGTGATCGTTCGCGTACCAGAGGACGACGAACTTCGGAGGCGCATCGACGTCACCGCTGCGTACGTCGCTGAAGACGGCGTGCCGTTCGAGCGAGCGCTCAAGGCTCGAGAGTTGCAAAACGAGGACTTTCGTTTTCTATTTGATGCGTCATCGGATGCGAGCGTGTACTACAGATGGCGCGTCTTCGCATTCGCCCAGGGTGACGGATGGACGTCGTGGCGCATCGACCCGTTCATCATGTTTCGAGGCGGAGCGCGTTGGATACCACCATCAACATCCGAGAGTGCGATGAAGCGCTCTGGGACCAAGCTCTCGCCGGAAGATCGCAAAAGTCTCGAAGAGATCTTGCGCCACGTCACCACATCTCGAGATGACGTACGCGACGCGATGGAGTTTGCGGTGGAGCGAGCCGAGTGCGCTGGGGACGTCGTGGACGTCATCGCGTCCTCCCTCATCGAA